CTTTTACTTAGTTAAGTTTCCTAAGGATCAGCAGATTGTTATTAATAACCTGCTAATGTCGCTCCCAGCTTTTTCTCTACCAGTTCTACATCTGAGCTGTGATCATGTATAGGTTGTTATTTAAATATTCAGAAAAAAAATGTTGATCGTAGATTTGTGGTCCCCCAAATTATGACCCAAAGCTAAACGTTATTAGGTTCTGTAGTACCATAGTCAGAGGATAAATTTGTGGTAATAACGTGGCTCTGTGTTCTGTATTAGGTGTTTTATAGATTCATGGTTTTAACAGTAGGTTCAGAGGAATTCATTCTGTCTTTTTTTTATTGAGGTGGTGGGGTTTCATGTTGTTTTTGGGCTGGAAATGGGCAGATCTGAAAACCCTGGCAGTGAAGGGTTGGGGGACTTGCTATCTATAACTTTTACAATATAGTAGATCATATAGTAGATAATTTCTTGTTACAGCAGTGGATTTGGAAATTGTATTAATAAAAAAAATTACATTCTAATTTATATTTAAACTAAATAACTGGTTATACTATGTCTACCAGAGGTGTGTTTCCCCACTGCTGGGGCTGTTGCTGTCGTAATAGCATCATCCTCCGGCTCAGAGTCTGATTCTGTGGGATAGAGGGATAGCTCTGGATGGTTCTGACCAGTAAGGTGTGATGCCTCCGTATTCCTCAGGATCCCAATCCTTTCCTGAGCAACATCAATGTTTCCATCTGTCATCATTATAGATGTTAATCAGAGTGCTGCTGTGGAGCTACCAAATGTAGGATATTTGAGTTAAAGATAAGCCTCTTTCATAATAACTCAACCACTTGGTATGTCCTGCTGCGTTATTTTAAAGCAATATTACATGGGATCAATACCGCTTCATCAACTCTTTAAAGTTTTTTGGACATAAAAAAAGGAAAAAAAAAAATCCAGATTTTCTCCTAACGATCTAAGATGTTCTGTGTACCCGGGATATGTTTTTAGTTTTCATCGCAATGTCAGACTGTTCTCATAGCATCCAGTGAAATCTGGCAAATTGTTTTGCAGGTTCTAGACTAAATGAGACGGTCAGCTTCATCCTGATGTCAAATCCTTCACGGTGCTGCATCTGTCTGGATGAGTTCATCAACCCAGCCTCTCTCCCCTGTGGACACTGCTTCTGCCTGGTGTGCATAGGAGATTACTGGAGAATCAAGGAGAGCTTCCAGTGCCCCCTCTGCATGACAGTCTTCCCCAAAATGCCACAACTAAAGACCACACACACACCACAAACTGAAAATGAAACCACACCTCTAAAAGCCGGAGTGGTCCCATGTGATTTCTGTCGACCCAAGCAGCCTGCAGTGCGGTCCTGCTTGGTGTGCCTGGCCTCCTACTGCAATGCTCATCTAGAGCCACATTATCACAGGGAGGATCTTGGACGCCATCTGCTGGTCAGTGTGTCAAAAAACCTAGAGGATTCTCTCTGCAGGTTGCATGGGAGGAAGTTGGAAAGGTTCTGCAGGAGTGACAGAACATTAATTTGCACCATGTGCAACAAGACAGAACACAGGGGTCACCACACCGTTTCTATCAGCAAGGAAGCCTCAAAAAGCAAGGTAAAGTCTGATGAAGGGAACAAAATCTAATTCTATTTGAGATATGTCTCGGGAAAAAAGCTGTTTTTGCAACCTTTGTGATTCAGTAGTTGTTAAAAAGTCTCCACTTTACAAGCAGAAGTGGAGGGAAGGATGGAAAAAACCCTAATTTAAATACTTTTAATAAATCAATCAAATCAATAAATAAATTGTATATTACTGTTTGTGAAGAGAAATCGTGACCGTAAAATGGGCTGATCAATGCTTACAAGAAATAGTCAGTATAAACTGGACTAAATTTTAATTGGTTCCTTATAATAAATTTATATGAATTCGATCACTCTCAACATATGTATCTATATTTATACACAGAGAGGTAAATAAGTATTTGAATACCTTGCTATTTTGCAAGTTCTCCCACTTAGAAATCATGTAAGGGTCTGAAATTGTCATCGTAGCTGCATGTCCACTGGGAGAGACATAATCTAAAAAAAATATCCAGAAATCACAATATATGATTTTTTTTAAACTATTTATTTGCATGATACAGCTTAAAATAAGTATTTTAACACATGAGAAAATTTATGTTAATATTTGGTACAGTAGCCTTTGTTTGCAATTACAGAGGTCAAAGGTTTCCTTTAGTTTTTCACTAGGTTTGCACACACTGCAGTAGGGATTTTGGCCCACCCTTCCACACAGATCTACTCTAGATCAGTCAGGTTTTGGGGCTGTCACTGAGAAACATGGAGTTTGAGCTCCTTCCTATGATTCTCTATTGGGTTTGGTTTTGGAGACTGGCTGGGCCACTCAAGAACCTTTATATGCTTCTTAAAGTGCCTCTCCTTGGTTATCCTGGCTGTTTGCTTTGGGTCATTGTCGTGTTGGAAAACCCAGCCTCGACCCATCTTAAATGCTCTAACTGAGAGAAGGAGGTTGTTCCCCAAAATTTCAGAGAATGGCCCCAGTCATCCTCTCCTTTATACAGTGCATTCGCTCTGTCCCATGTGCAGAAAAACACCACCAAAGCATGATGCCACCACCCCCATGCTTCATATTGGGGATGGTGTTTTTGGCATGGTACTCATCATTCTTCTTCCTCCAAACACGGATAGTGGAAATATGACCAAAAAGGTATATTTTGGTCTCATGTGACCACATCACTTTCTCCCTTGAGTCCTCTGGATCATCCAAATGGTCATTGGCAAATTTAAGATGGGCATTGACATGTTCTGGTTTAAGCAAGGGAACCTTCCATGCAATGCATGAGTTTAAGCCATGACATCTTACCAACGGTAACCTTTGAAACGGTGGTCCCAGCTCTTTTTCAGGTCATAGACCAGCTCCTGCCATGTAGGTAAGTTGTCTAACCGTAGTTCTGGGCTGATTTCTAACCTTCCTTGGGATCATTGAGACCCCACGAAATAAGACCTTGCATGAAGCCCCAGTCTTGACAGTCATGTTTAGCTTCTTCCATTTTCTAATGATTGCACCAACACTGGACTTTTTTCACCAAGCTGCTTGGCAAATACCCCATAGCCCTTTCCAGCTTTGTGGAGGTGTACAATTGTCTCTAGTGTCTTTGGACAGCTCTTTGGTCTCTGCCATGTTAGTAGTTGGATTGTTATTGATTGAATGGGGTCAACAGGTGTCTTTATGCCGCTAACAACCTCAAACAGGTGCATCCAAGTTAGAATAATAAATGGAGTGAAGATGGAGTGAAGACATTGGAGTGAAGACATTTTGAAGGCAGACTAACAGGGTCAGAATTCTAGCTGATAGACAGGTGTTCGAATAATTATTTGCAGCTGTATTCTACAAATAAATAGTTAAATCATATATTGTGATTTCTGGATTCTTTGTCTCTCACAATGGACATGCACCTACGATGACAATTTCAGACCCCTCCATCATTTCTAAGTGGGATAACTTGCAAAATAGCATGTTCCAATACTTATGTTCCTCACTTTATATGCTGAACACAGCACAGGGTGTTGACATACTTATTTTCTTCACTATATATATGTATAAGTTTCTTTTTTTTTTTCACAGATTAAACTAAAACGTAAACAGATTCAACTTCAGCAAGACATTCAGGACAAGCTGAGTGTGACTGAAGAAATGAAGCTAACTGCAGACCTCCATGAAGAACCTGCAGAGCTTTGGGCACGAAGTAAGAAGCTCATCAAACAGCTGGAAGAAGAGATCAGCAAGTTAACAGAGAGAAACGCTGAGCTGGAGCAGCTCTCAAAGACAGAAGACAACCTGCACTTTCTGCAGGTCTGACATGTTTCTACAAGCCAACAGAACAGGTGTCAATGTTGAAAAAAAACATTTCATTAAATTGGTCTTTTTATCTTTCCTCCACAGCGATTCTTACACTTGTGTTCGTGATTGGAACCACAAGATGATGGCAATGATGAAGATTCGAGCCCAACACCTCTGAACTGAAAATTCTTGTTATATTTGCAACTGACATATTTTGACTATATTTTTAATAAAAATACAATGCTGTGAAGTAAAAATGAAAATGTAATTATTGTTTTTGTATGAGAGGCCCCAGAAGACATGAAAGAAGAACTTTGATTTTCTTTCAAGGTTGCTCATTTGCTGTAAGAAATGATTAATATTTTTCTCATCTGTTATTTTTTTACTTTATACAATTTTGTTTTTCTTTATTATTATGTTACCTTACAGCTTTTAACGCATAACATATTTTGAAATTATTGATCATTATTACACCTCTGATTTTGATACTCATAGTAGCCCATAAAGGTCCACCTGGTAGTGGCGTGATTTTTAATTTTTTTTTTGTAAATACAATTTTCTGTCTAAGTCATGCCATTGAGTGGCAGGTTGCTGGGTTTTTAGTTCTCTGTGAATTAATTAGTACATTTTCCAGACCGTATATAATTCTTTCCGTCACACAGGGTTATATTGAGCAATACTACTGACTAAACATGAACCACATTTGCGTAGTCTAGGCAACACGCCCAGTACCAAGTAAAAAAAGAGAGATTGCTCCACTGAGTGTCAGCCTTCCTCTCCAAATGAAGGCGGTGCCTGATTAAACTGTGGATCTGAAATGAAACTTAAACAGGAGTCGGAAAAACAGCATCATTCACCAGGTGGAATTTGAGGAAATAGGACGTAGAGCGATAATGGCAACAGATGAGCAACTTGGAGGTACAATTCTGCTCAGATCTTGATGTTTTTTGTTTTTAATTTCTTGTGTTTCATTTTAAATGATCGTGGTTCAGTGTCAGTGTGTATTATTTGAATGGGAGCATTTAAAATAGGTTTATAGCCTTGGTTATGGCAAAATGTAGGAGATTTATTGTATCTTTAATTCCATTCTTTTTTTAATCTTTTTTTAATGCCTGTTCTTCATACATTCAATGTTGGCAGATAAGAGAATAAATTTTGTTTATGGATAAACATATAATGACACTACCTGGAAAATGTTTGCAAAGAGTTTCAAAATAACTTTGATGTAGATGGTAGAGACACATTCAGCAGGTTTAACAAGCACATTCAGACAGCAATCATTAGGAAACAAGGGGATAGGTACACTGATAATAAATGACGAAACCGTTTTGGGCATTTAATGAATTATATTTAGTCACTTTAGCATAATTCTTTTAATGTCCTACCCTGCTAACATTAAAAATGTGTTAGAGTAAAGTAACTTAATATCATTAAGTAGATTATTATTCATTTTTTTTTTAGTACCTTGTCTAGGGACTCACCAAAACTCGGGAAGACGCAGAAACTCAAAACAATGTTTTCACAATGACAACAACTAATTAATCCTCTGAGCCATACTAGTCCCCCCTAGAAAACAAACAACACAGCAAAGAAAAAAAATCTTTATTTGGGTTTCAATTCTTTTGTTTATTGTACTGCAACCTACCATCGGAAAAATATTAATAAAAAAAAATTATTAGTACGCTTGTTAAGTGATTTATTAATTCAAACAATGATTCGAGGAAAATAGCTGCAGCTTATTCTCTAACCTCTATAATGTGGTTTACACAACTTGTTAAGGTTCAAACTGGCTGTCAGAATGAAATGAAACCCTGTGGTTTTGTCGTACAGTGTGAGTTCACAGCTCACTATGCATGTTCAGCCCAACGCTCTGATTCGATCTACCTGCTCACACTGCACGTCTAAAAACCACGTTGGACTCAGCTCTGCTGTGAGATGGCCCTACTCAGACTCGTCTATCCAGATGCAAAACCAGTAGAAGAGGAATATGAAGCTCACTAGAGTGAAACGCGCTGCCTTGGCAATCTGTAATTTTGTGAGCTGAAAGCCCTGAAAGGGAAAGGCGATGACATATTTGGACAAAGACATGGCTGAGCAAACATGGCTACTACGGTCTGTCAATTTTACAGATAGAACTCCATTACACTCGCACCCCTGCAAAGATTCAGTGTTTTCGTGTGAGAGGAAGAATAAGTAGAATCCTTGTTTGCCCACTGAGCGATATGCCCATGATGGCCGACTGAAAATCCGACCTCATGATTCCTGATTGGGAGGTGGTCGTGAGAGGCTGATCGCCCCTAGTTACCCCCTGTCCACTACACGACGCATGATCAGGCTGAACGTCGGGCCGATCGAAAAATTCTCACACGAGTGGAAGAGACATGCTCGAAAAGGGCAAAAAAATCATACGGTAAACCCGACATTAGGTGTGTGAAGGCAAAGCAACAGCGAAATGCAGGACAGTTGGTTCTGAGGATGAGGATTGAAGCCCCCTGGTTTACAAGATTGCATTCTATGTTTATTTTTCTAATACATTGTTTTTTGTATTTTGGCAGACATGACCTCCATGGCCAAAGCAGCCAATGAGGACTGCTATCTGGAAAAACATCTCAACTGCCCCATCTGCATGCAAACATTTACTGATCCAGTGACCACATCTTGTGGCCACTCCTTTTGTAAGACATGCTTAGAACTAAGTATCTCCTCTAATCAGGTTGATAGGACATGTCCTCTTTGCAAAACGTACCTAAGGGAAGCCCCAATGGTTAATACTATCCTGAGAGACATTGTCCAAGAAGTACAAGACTTATTGAGTAATAGGTGTACGGGGGCTTCTGGAGAAGTGCCCTGCGATGTCTGCATAGAGCCGAAGAACAAGGCTGCAAAGTCCTGCCTTATATGTCTGACCTCATACTGTTCAACACACTTGAAGAATCATGCTTTAGCTGATCGGCTGAGGGGCCACACACTGGTGGAACCAGTGGAGAACTTAGACACAAGGTCCTGCCTGGCACATGGATACCCACTTGAGCTTTATAGCAGGAAACAGCAAAAGTGCATTTGCGCTCGATGTTTGGATGAACCTCTGGAGGAAGTTGTGTCCGCTGAAGAGGAATGTAAAAAAAAAAAGGTGCTATAAACTTCCAGTGTGTTAAAGATATAAGTAGTTGTTTGTGCCAAGATTTCTCCACTTACAGTAGTTGGGTGAATACAAATTGTGGGGGTAAATTTTTAATTCAAACAAATATATTTGATATAATGCAAATATATTGACAACTATTTTTGTTAATATTTGCTCTTTGCTTTCTACAGGATCAAATAGGAAACACCAAGACAGAGTTACAACATAGGATTATGACAAGAAGAACAAAGATTGAAGAGATCAATGAAGCTTTTAAGAGTTGTAAGGTACATTATAGAAAAATATGCCATTGGGTAACCAGTCTGTTATTGTGTAAGGTTACAGGATTGGAACCAGTAGGAAAAATATCCCATGGGCCAAAATGTCTGACACCTCCTGAGCTATTCTTGATTTTAATTCCTAATGAACTTTCAACCTGCTTTGTCAATATATGGTTTTGAGATACTCTGTGTTTCACATTTGTCTATCACTTCATCTTTTACCACTTGTCTGTTTGGGTCAAGGGGGACGGGTGCCATTATCTAGCAGTCTTCAGTGTTTAGATAGTATTCTGTCAGAATACTATCTCTTGTAAGATTGACCATTGTTTGTATAGATGAGGTGTATCCATTATGTTACTTTGACAATGCTGATTGACGCAGTTCTAAAACAACACTTAGAAGTCATCTTAATACATAGAGTGGAAATTCCGTAACAGTTTGGCCTGCCTGTAGTCCAGAACACAGCTCTATTGCACACCTAATGCTTGGTTGCGCTGTTTGTTTTGAAAGCTGAACACTCTTTTTGTGGAATACCACCCCACTTTTGTGGGGTGGTATTCCACAAAAGTGTGTCACCAAGCAGGTGACTAGCATGAGGGGCAATTGCCATGCTGTTGAGGTTGTTCATGGTTTTCCTACTCACTACTATTAGATAAATGTTAAATTTCCAGTATGTTTTGTTTATTTAAACCCTCAGCAATCAAATCCAATCAGTAAATCACCAATGGCATTAATAGAGAGAATTTTGCAAGTTATTTGTGGGGACGACCAAACTCAGCTGCTGAGTCCACTGATGCACTTGTGTGTTGTTCTTAAAACAAAGGTTTACAAAGGTAAAGGGTTTAAAACAAACCTTTTTTTTTCCCTAATTCTCTTCAGGGGCAGATTGAGAAAGAGTGGTGGGATATCAACAGTCTGTTTACAGCTGTGCTCGCTGTTGTGGAGGCAGCCAAAGCAAAAGCCCTGAGCCCACTTGAAGATAAGTTGCAGTTATTAAAAAAAGAGTCAAATGACATGAAATACGATTTGGAGGATGAAATCAAAAGACTCGAGACAACAATTCTAAAACTAGAGGAAATATCTGCACTCGAAGATCACATCCTTTTCTTACAGGTCAGATGTGACTCTATTTTCTTTTAAAGCTGACAATAGTTTTAAAATTCCTTATCCAAAAAGTTATCTTTTTGGTTGTTTTAAAAAGTCTGTTAGTTTATCCAGTTGTCTTTTTTTCCCTTTTTTTCAGAGGTACCCATCTCTCATAGTGCAGGACGACATGAAAAACTGGACGCATGTTAACCTTAACACATCACTGTCTTTTGGTTCTATGAGGGAAACAATAGCAATGATTGAAGATATTCAGATGGAGTTGGAAAAGATGGCCACCATTGGTAAGATTTGACTTCATGGTGCTAATAATGATAAGGAAAAGTTGACATCATTGATCAAAAACTAATTTTCTCCTCACAGAACTTATGAGGTTCCCAAAGTATACAGGTATTTGACAAAATTTATTTAGCCTTCCATCATAAATCTTAAAAAAACAAAACAAATAAAACTGTATTTACTTCTGTAACTAATTTTATACCCAACTTATGGTTTACAGTGGACGTGAAGCTGGACCCAGACACTGCACACCGGCGCCTTGTTCTTTCTAGTGATGGGAGCAAAATGAAAGATAGTGGAGAAAACCAAATGGTGGCTGATTCTCTGAAGAGATTTGATGTAGTTGGTAGCGTCCTGGGACACAACAGCTTGACGACTGGGAGGTCTTACTGGGAAGTGGAGGTCAGCAATAAAACCGGATGGGATCTAGGTGTAGTCAGAGGCAGTGCTAATCGTAGGGGAAGACCAAATTTAAGCCCGGAAAATGGGTACTGGGTTCTTGTACATTTTGAAGAGTGTGATGTACCTCAACCATATGCAGATTATGCAGCCATGACCAGCCCACCAATTTCTCTGTCCCTTAAAGACAAACCGAAAAAGGTCGGGGTGTTTTTGGACTATGAAGAGGGCCTCCTGTCCTTCTACGATGTGACAAACAAGTCTCATATTTACACATTCTCCAAGTGCTCATTCAGTGACGAGATTTACCCATATTTCAGTTTACATATGAAATATGAGATCAACTATGAACCCATGATTATTTCAAAAGTAAAAATCTAGATTGGCTCAAATTCTAGTTTTTCTTTCTAGAAACTAAAGCTTTAGGGGGAAAAGTTGTAGGTGGCTGGTTTAGAATTCAACTTCACATTGTTCATTAAAATTAATGAAAATGTATATGGAAATGGGCACATGTGTGCTGCATTCTAGGTTCAAAGATCAAGGTGTCCTTATTACTGACTAGAGTCTATTCATATTAAAGTAGTGTAGGAAAGCACTTTTAAATGCAACCAACTTTTTAGAACCATGTTTTATCACTTTTAAGGTTAAGGCAAAATGAATCGAAGTTAAGAAGAATGTGTATCTGATGTTTATAGTTTGATGTTAATGTTTTTTTTTTTTCTTAAGTTTTACCTTAACTTAGATTAAACTTATTGGTTGCACTCCTTTAAAAATACATAAATGTGATTATCAAGCTCTAAATTGTTAAGGTTAGGCTAGTCTCACACTCATTTTATCAATTTTATGAAAACTCTTGGATTAACTTTGGTGCTAAGGGTACTTTCTCTCCTTTAAAACAAAACTGCAAAAGTTTCTAATGATTTCACCAGGTACTGTGTAACTATTCCTAAACATACATTACACCATCGTCAAGAGACTATTATTGTTTATATTTTGTGATGATGTGATTCAATGCTGGACCCTGAAACAGACCGCTGAGTGATTACAACTGATGGTTTCGGCACAGTCTATCTAAACCTTGGAGGGATGTGAACCCATTTCAAAATGTTAAAAGCATTCAACCAGTACAAATGTCTGTGATTTTACTTCTGTCTTCCTTATTGTCTTTTAGCACAGAAATAAAACTGAAGCTTACAAACAATATGAATTTGACTGTATGATCTGGTTGAATTATCTCTGTAAACTGCCTCAAGATGACGTGTTGTGAATAGGTTCAATATAAATAAAATGAATTGGATTAAATTGTTTTTGTCTTCCAGGTTGTCTTTTGGCACAGAACTGAAAACTGACATAAATAGTATAAACTCTGAATTTTCCAGTAAAACAGGCTTCACAGTAAGCTGCACAAAGAATATAAACCAAAAACGTCCTTCTACTTCCAATGAAAAACCCTCTGGGCAAGTGGAGTACTTGATCTGTTGCTAAACATCCAACATGCCCTGTCACATGCAAACAGATAATTTGGTTGCTTAGGTGTGTGCCAGCCGCCCTCTCTGTGCAAGGGAGGTCCCTTGTTTTTTAGTCAGAAATTAAACTTAGCAGAAGGAGGACATCTAAAGGGAAGAGCTTACAGACTCATGAGGTGGAGTAGAGAAAGAAGGACACACTCACCTGTGAGAAGGGAAACCACACTCTAGCTTGAAGGTAAAATTCTTCCCTGTTATAGCCTATTTGAGCATCTGCTTGGTTTTATAACCTTTGGTCTTGATTAAACACTTGCATTCAAAGAAAAGGAATAATGGCAAATAAAGTGGCCTAATATTTATGTTATGTTATTTGCTCGCAACAATAATTCACTCCATATTCATACTTATTTAACTCCTATTAAATACCATGAAAAAAAGTAGAGCAGCAGCCTAGAGATGGACAGTATCTCTGCAAAGTCTGCAGAGATCCAGTCAGGTTGTACGAAGAAAAAAATCTCTAAGATAACTAGTAGGAGGACTATTTGAATATGGGATTTAGGGAAAAAGGTCAAAAGGAAGGCCAGATTGGAATGTAGCCGTCCCTGCAGTTTACATCAATGTTATAGAAGTATTGTCTTCAAAAACATTAGAACAAAACTTAGACACACCAATTACATCATCATATTGTAGGGATGTCTTTTTCTTCCTTTGAAACAAAGAAGACTGTAAGTGTTGAGTGGAATATATTTTTATTTTTAAGGGGTTATTTTAAAAGGCATTTTCATCTCCAATGTCTCTACAAGCATGCTTGGTGTGAGGTTGCTTCTAGTCAATGATTCGATGCAATCAACTGGTTTTCCTTAGATTAATTAGAAATCTGAACCAATCTGACTGTAGGATCTGGTTGAATTCTTTATGTAAAATGCTTGAGATGGCATGTGTTGTGAATTGGCACTACTTAAATAAACTGAATTGAATTGATAATTGATATTTTGGTTAACAGTTAAATTAGATATTTTCTTTCATCAGACATGGCTGCACCTGCCTAGCAGATGAAAAACACAATCAGTAACAGGAGTTCAGGTGCAGCTGGGGAAGTGGTTTGTGATGTTTGCAATGAGCCGTGGCAGAAGGCTAAGAAGGCCTGCCTTGTGTGTCTCACCTCCTATTGCTCAGGCCACTTGGTAAACCATTCAGCTGAAAGGCTGAAGGGTCACAAGCTGGTGGAACCACTGCAGAACTTAGACGCAAGTGCCTGTCTGATCCACGGACGTTCACTAGAGCTGTACAGCAAGACGCAACAGAAAAGCATCTGTGTTCGATGTTTAGAAGTAAGTCAGGAGGAAATTTTCTCCAGCGAAGAGGCATGGTTTGTCTCCAGCGAAGAGGCATGGCTCGAAAAGAAGGTAGTTTCTACTTCCTGACTCATTCGTTACAAGCTTTTAAACCATGTTGATGTTTGTTAAAGAGTAGTAAGAAGGGGATTTTGAAATAAAAACCAGTTAAAGAAAAAAATATATGTTCAGTGTTGGCCAAAAGAATTGCACATTTTCTTCTCCAGACTCAACTTCAAAACACTAAGAGAGAATTAGAAGAGAGGATTGAAATAAGAAATAAGAAAAAAGACAAAGATGGACGAGATAACCACATCTCTAAAGGAGAGCAAGGTACGTACTGTGTATGGGGGCAGAGAAGCAAACATGTTGATGCTAAACATATTAACCAATCAAAGCAGTCTTTTAACTACCACTACAGGGCTAGTAACTCATAGCAGCCACATCCTCTGAGACTGACCAAAAAAATGATGGAAGGAGTGGCGGCCTAGTGGTTAGGGCATAGAGCTTGGAATCTTGAGTTCGAGCCCCACAGATTGCCACTGTGGCTCTCTGAGCAAGACCCTTGACCCCACACCACTCCCTGGGCGCCACACGATGGCAGCCCACTGCTCCCCAAAGGGATGGGTTAAATGCAGAGATAAATATCTCCAATGTGAGATCAATAAAGTTCAATTATTATAATAATTATTAAAACATTTAAATTAAGGATCAGCTCATTTTCTTCCACAGGCCAAATCTATATGCATTGCCTCTTCTTTAATTTATAAAAGGCTTAAAAACTTCTTACCAACATATTGAATGGTAAAAAAGGATCCAACAATAAAACATTTGTTGGCACTATATGCACATCTTGTGTTTTTATTTGTAGTTTTTTTTTTATCTGTATGGCCCTGGAAATTTGAAAGATTGAGTTTATTTATTCAGCATCTACATTATCTTCAGCTATTTAAGAAGTTTTGACTGTCCAAATCAATGCTTTAGTCTTTCTTCTTGGAGTTTTGTGTGTTGTAAGTGGTCATACTAGCTCTTGTGTAATAAATAAATAAAAGTACCAAATTGTAATTTAATTGTTTTTGTAGAACTGTGGCTACATTCAAGCAGCTGGTCCTTGTAATGACCTAGGGATCAGTAAAAGTGGGAAAGTTCACATCTTCTGTTGGCCTGATTCAATTATCACAAATTCTTGTTTTCCATTATAGTTTCAGTTTCACACTACTGTGCATGGAACATTTTATTTTGTTGTTGTTTGTTTTATTTTAATGGACTTCCTGATATCTGGAAATATGACATTAGTGAAGTTTAGCTTTATGTTCTTCAGCAAATGCTGGCGGGGGAGTTCTGCTTTTATGTAGCCAGCACTTCTCTGCTATCATCGCAGCATCCTTTTTTGTATTTCTTTTGGGTTGTTTGTCACATTTCACACCAAAATATGTTTAATCAGACAAAGAATCCACCTACTTTCTAAGATGGATGAATGATCAATAAAGAGATACATTTTGCCTTAAGTGCCTGAAAAGGTTTAAAGCTTACTAAGTGTGTACCTTTATCTTTATGTCTATTTTTCTGTTTTTCCTGAAGTATCCTTTTGTTCCAGTCCATGATGACATGATGGACTGGACAGACGTGAAACTTGACAGCACTCTGACTTTTGGCTCCATGAGAGAAATCTCAACAACAATGCTTAGAGATATTCAGCAGGAGCTGAAGAAGCTGGACTCCTAAGAGTAAACTTGTGGTACGAGAAATATAAAGAATCTGGCTAACTGATATTTTTTTTTTTTTACAGAACTCAAAAGACTTCAGAAGTTTTCAGGTATAAAGCATGTTTTTCTTCTCCTTCATGGTATTTTCTGACTATTATACATAACAGATGGCTCTTAACCCATTTTAAATTTGACCTATCAGTGGACGTAGAACTAGACGCACAGACAGCACACCAACACCTCATTATTTCCCCTAATGGGAAAGAAGTCAAAGATGGAAGCGAAAACCAGGAAGTAGCTGATTCACCTGAGAGGTTCGATTTCTTTGGCAGTGTTCTCGGACTCAACAGCTTGACTACTGGAAAGTCATACTGGGAGGTGAAGGTCAACAACTATGCAGCCTTGATGGATCCACCTATTCGTCTTACCCTGGAAGAGGAACCAGAGACAGTCGGGGTCTTTGTAGATTATGGGGAAAATCTCTTGTCCTTCTATGACATGACAAACCAGTCTCATATCTACTCCTTCTCTAAGTGCTCATTCAGTGATGAGCTTTACCCATATTTCAGTCAACATATGAAAAAGCAGATCAACTATGAACCCTTGATTATTTCAAAAGTAAAAACTTATTAGATTGTCTCAACTTCAGGTTTTCATTTGTAGGAACTGCAACTTTATCAGTAAAAGTGGTAATTTGCTATTTAACTGGTTTAGAATTCAACTTCAGCACACTTTCATTAAGATTTATGTAAATGTGTATGGAAATGGGCAAATGTGAGCTGCAATCTAGGTTCAAAGATCAAGGTGTACTTATTATTCACTAGAGTTAATTCATAGTAAAGCTTACGGTAAAGCTTAGTGTTCTACACTTGAAAAGTGTATTTGTGAGTTTGTCTTAAAATTTTTTAATTTTGAAATACATAAAGCTAGTGCATATATTGTATAATTTAGGAGCATATAGAGTAATTAGAACCATGTTTTATCACTTAGGGTTATAAACCTATGGTTCAGGCAAAATTAAACTGAGTTCAAAAGAATTTGCTTTGATGTTTATGTTTGTTTTTGTTGTTTTTTGTTTGTTGTTTGTTTTTTTGTTTTTTTACATTTTACCTTTATTAGCCAAAAATGTTTGTTTGCACTACTTTAAAAATACATAAATGTGATAATCAAGCTCTAAATCTTGAAAGTTAGGCTAGTCTAACTCTCACTCAATTTTATGAAATTTCTTGGATTAGGTTTGGTGCTAACAATTCTTTTTCACCTTTCAAAAAGAACTACAAAAGATCATAGGATTTCAACCGGCACTGTGGGATTATTCCTAAATGTACATTAAGCCATTGTCAAGAGACTATTATTGTCTTCACACCAAACTTTTTACTGTGCCAAAGACTGAATGCTAGAGAAGGTGATGATGGTGTGGATCCTGAAATGGACCAAAGAACGATTGCAACTGCTGGTTTTGGCATAGTTTATATGAACCTTGGAGGGATGTAAACCCATCCCAACATACCATCAACAGGAAGAGGGAATGTGATGTAAGGGCAATAATATCATTGGTACATAAAAAGGGTTTTTGTTTAGAAAATGGTTGCTTCTTCCTCAGAGTAGGATATATTTTCTATAATTTTGTCTCTTAGCATTTGGAAGAGTAGTCATTCTTTCACATGCATTTGTTTATTATTGTATATGGATTTTTGATTCATGTATCAAAAGGAGAAATTTAACAGAAAAAAGCTGTAAGTTAATAAAGTTGTTGAAAGTATTCAACCAGTACAAATTTCTGAGATTTTGTTTCTGTCTTCCTGGTTGTCTTTTGGCACAGAACTATAAACCGACACTTATAAACAATATGAACACTGAATTTTCCAGTAAAACAGGCTTCACAGTAAGCTGTACAAAGAACTATAAACCAAAAACGTCCTTTTACTTCCAATGAAAAACCCTCTGGGCAAGTGGAGTACTTGATCTGTTACTAAACATCCAACATGCCCTGTCACATGCAAACAGATAATTTGGTTGCTTAGGTGTGTGCCAGCCGCCCTCTCTGTGTAAGGGAGGTGCCTCTGTGGCCTTTTTTATCAGAAATGAAACTTAGCTGAAGGAGGAAATCCAAAGGGAAGAGCCTGTTGAGAGAGAAGGACACACACACCTGTGAGAAGGGAAACCACACTCTAGCTTGAAGGTAAAATTCTTCCCCGCTATATTTGTTTGTAAATTTGTTTGCTTTTGCTTCTTGCTTGATGGCTGAAAAAGTGAAACATCAACACATGTTACTTCTGATTACACAACCCTCTAAAGTGTATTTTCCATCTGATATACGCGAATCTGCTTGGTTTTATAACCTTTGGTCTTGATTAAACACCCTGTTTAAAGTTGCACTAAAGGTGTTTCACTTTCTGAGCCGTATATCAGAGTTTGACATGTATATTATGCACTACTTTCTTCATCTTGAAAGGAATAATGGCAAATAAAGTAATCTAATACTGTTTTTCCTGAATTTCCTGCTGCAAACATGTTATTACTGTTCTAAAGAAAGACATGCAGTCCTTAAACTGCATATTCATAACAATCTTAAGCTGACAAAAATGTGTTCATTACTCAGCGAATATATGCAAGGGTGTAAAACTTTATTTTCCTTCTCTCACAAACCCAGCGCAGCACATAAAGCACAACAGGATAAATACTTTGTGTCTCTCAGTGGCAAGTAGTAACCTTTGAATCTCATTTGTTTACTCAATGTCCCAGTTTTTCAGGTTACACTCTGCACACACCAAGTCATTTTATGTCGAATGTTAGGTGCAAATCATTATCAAATTATCTAAAACTTGCAGTCTTTAAACTGAGAAATTGAATCACTTTTAATTCGGTTTATGTATGCAGTGGTGTAATAACAGTAATATTATCTTTAGCACTAAGATACAAATATATCAGCCAAATCTTTCCGTAGAAACAGTTAATTCAATAAAACAGACCAACCAAACAGATCAATTCAGAGTCAGGTTCATATGCTACTATTTGATCCAAGCAGTTAAACATTACATTCAAACCAGTTTATCAATCAAATTGTTAAAACTTAACTGCAGATGACAGATATTTATGGCTCATTAAACTTTTTGAAGCAGTTATTACTTGTTATTACTTGTTCTCACAAAGCTAAAAAGTGTGTATTTGTATTCCCTTTTCTCTGACACACCAAATAAAAAACCCAATATAATTGTTTTATAAGTCACATATCTATTAAAAAAAGAGTAACTCTGGTAAATAATTATACCTCAGTGTTAACCAAGCTGTTGATCGATCATTTTTAACTGAAAGCTTTTTTACAAAGTCACTCTCACACATTTACTCACAGGTGTTTGCTTTCAGGTGCTTGTATGATGACCAACTCTTACATAACGAACAATTCATACAGAAATGCATTAATGATTAATAAAAAACATAGGCATACAAATGAATCAGTAAAAAAACATAAATAAAAGTACACATCAATTCAATTATACAATGAGAACAAAAACGTATAAATATGATCTAATAGCTTATATACTTATTCCTCTTCATAATGATTAACTCTTATTTTTATATCATATTTTTTCGCTTTATATATAATTACCTGCTCTTAATATCTGTACATTTCTGTGTACCCTTATTTTTTATCTGTCTTTTTTATAATTTCACATTTCTGTGTTAATTTCTGCCTCATTATGTAAATGAGGAGGGGGCGGTCTTAAGGGAACAGCTTCTGCCTATTGGTTAGTTAGACTGTATAAAGTATGCATGCAACCAGACCAGCCAAAGTCTACAGAGATGGCTTCCTACCATGAGGTTATCAGTTAGCTTAGCTGAGGTATTTAGCTGCTTTATGTGAAAACAGTGATTGAATTCCTGACTTTTTTTCGTTTGGCTACTCTAACAGAACATGTTACAGATAATCAGAACACAAAGTAAGCTACAAAACTCTCTTTATTCAAGGCTCAAGAATAATCTGGCACTATTGGCTGGGAAACCTGGAGCTAAACAGAAAACTGGAACAGGTGGATCTGATGAGGGCAGTTAGACAGGTGAAGGAAATGAGCAATAAAGCCAGCCATCAGCGCCAAAATCATGATAATGCAACCAGTATCTCACATTTTCATGACAGTCTGAACAAGACAGATCCGTTTTTCCAATGCAACCCTGGTCGCTTGGCTATGTGGTCCTAAATCTGATATCAATCTGATCTTTTCAAATCGTCTGAATGGTCAGGTCCCATTCATCCGATGTTTATGCCATTAATACTCACCTGATAAAGGTCCCTATTCTGCATCATGCTATGCAGATGTGTGACAAAAAACAGCAACCATAGCAGACGATAATGTAATAATGTTTTTCTTAAGCTTTATTTTCAACCTTCTTGAAAAAAATGTGTTTTCAATGGCTGAGGATGGGAAAGACTTCAAAGATTGCAAATGCGCTGCAACACTACCATGTATGTTTACTTCTCTAAACACGTAGCAGGTTTGCTTATGACGTGATTGTGTCCTCTACTGCACATGCAGGACATATATTTCTAACGTGAACAACCATGCAAAAGAATCAGATAAAAAAAATGGGGGATTGAGCATTAAGGCCTGCAATTGTAAACATAGCCTAATCGGCTGCATACATTGATGGCTTTAATTGGATGTTACCCTCGATCATCCCTGACAGAAATCACAGCCTTTGCTTCAGGAGTAGCAGTAAATTAGGTCTCCATCTCCTTTCTGACCAGTTAGGGGGGAGAAGGATGTTTAACAGTTGTTAAAGCAGGACTGAAGTATACCATTAACTTCATTGTTTAGTTAGTGAGTTACAAGACAAGATTAAGCTTATTTTCCCCTGTGGTATCATGTATGACAAGGTTTGCCCAAATGAGGATAATCTGAAACTAGCTATACATAAACATTAATGCCAAGTCTTCAACAAGTAAACAACTCTGGGGTCATTTCTAGATGTCTGATTACAATAATAAATGTTTCAATTTGATTCTTGCACATCCCTAGAAGGGCTCTGCTGCAGCGGAGCACTAAAATATTCAATAGTTTGTTGCACAACCACATGCTGAGTCGTACATATAAATAACGCATAATTAAATAATATGTGTAAAACTGATGATATTGAATAAATACAATTTTTGACAATTTACTGTAATTGTGTACTTATATATTCATTGAGATTTTTTTTTTTCCTGTATCTATTTCTGTATTTATTTTTACTTATGTCCCAGTTGGTTGCCACTAAATACAACTTAAATAAATTAGTATAGTTTAGTTTACATTAACAGTGTCATTTAATATGTGTTTTTCTGCTACTGTCTTTCCTTTTCTCTTTTTATTTGTCTCTTTCTGCAAATATCCAGAGTGTTATGTTACGAATTTTGTTCAACAATTGTGGCAATCAAAAAGGAGTTATTTCAAATGAATATTTGTAAAAAAAATAAATAAATAAATAAATAAATAAAATAAAATAAAATGAAATAAAATAAAAAAAAATAAATCCAGGAACTAAAATTTTGAAACAATTCTTAAATGGAAAAAAAGGTTTTGGGAGTAGCTTTTCTAATTGCATTTTTTAAAGTTATTATTTACTTTATTTTGGGGGCCCGCTTTTCACTCTGGAGTGAGGAGCAGAGACACATTTCTATTGGTCTGCATGGATGATAGCAAAATATTTATATCAGTCCTATCAGTCCAAGCGTTTGTATTATTATTAAGGAAAGAGAATGTAACCACTGAAATTAAATTCTAAAAGCATTCTATTAGTTAAACTGAAGCAGAAAAAGCGAAACTTGAAAAAATAATCTGAGAAAAGAAAATGTGAAAACAAAATAAAAAATTAGAATTGAATAAATAAATCTGAGAGAACAGCAGTAACTCTCAAATTCTTTCTTTTGCTTAATTCTTTTTCCTTTCTTTATCACATTTAGTTCAAATTTGAATTTACGAAATTACTGAATGTTCTTTCATTACAAGAATAAAAAATAGAAATTCACTCCATATTGATCCATTTTTATGGCAACCTGAACCTTGAAAGTGTTGAAACATGTCAAAAACATTTTGTTAAGTGAGATATTTTCTTTCAGCAGACATGGCCAACGCATCTGTCCAAACCAGTGACTTCTCCCTGGAGAAGAATCTAACCTGCTCCATCTGCATGGAGATATTCAGTGATCCGGTCACTACGCCTTGCGGTCACTCTTTCTGCAGTAAATGCCTGGAGTGCAGCATCTCTGTACATCATGTTAATGACATGTGTCCTCTTTGTAAGAAACATCTCAGTAAAGCTCCTGATGTTAACATTGTGCTGAGAGACATTGCCCAGCAAATGAAAACCACAATCAGCAACAGGAGCTCGGGTGATGCTGGGGAAGTGGTTTGTGACGTTTGCACTGAGCCGAGGCAGAAGGCTAAGAAGTCCTGCCTTGTGTGTCTCGCCTCCTATTGCTCAGATCACTTGGTAAACCATTCAGCTGAAAGGCTGAAGGGTCACAAGCTGGTGGAACCACTGCAGAACTTAGACGCAAGGGCCTGTCTGATCCATGGACGTTCACTAGAGCTGTACAGCAAGACGCAACAGAAAAGCATCTGTGTTCGATGTTTAGAAGGAAGTCAGGAGGAAGTTGTCTCCAACGAAGAGGCCTGGCTCGAAAAGAAGGTAGTTTCTACTTCCTGACTCATTTGTTACAAGCTTTTAAACCATGTTGATGTTTGTTATACAGTAAAAATAAATGGAGTTTAAAAGGATAAACTGCTTTTAACAAAAAATAAAATAGAAATGTTTAATGTTGGCCAAATGAATGCACTTTTTTCCCCTCCAGACTCAACTTGAAAACACAAAGAGAGCATTAGAAGAGAGGATTGAAATAAGAAAGACAAAGATGGAGGAGATAAATGCAGCTCTAAAGGAGAGCAAGGTACGTACTTTATATAGGAGCAGAGAAGCAAACGTGCTGATGCTGAACATATAACCCAATCAAAGCAGTTTCTTAAATAAAATTACAGGGCTATCAAGTCATAAAAACCACATCCTCTGAGACTGACCAAAAAAATGATGTTTGGTGAAACAAAAACCTTTAAAGGATCAACTCACTTTCTTCAATAGCCTACATCTCAATAAACAGTGATTGCTCTTTTACAATGTATTAAATTTATTAAAAGCTTAAAAGGTGCAAAAATGTTTTAGATGGTTAAAAAAAGGATCCAGAAATAAAAGATATGTTTTTGCCATAACAGTCTTGTGTTTTTTTTATGTAGGTTTTTTTTTATCTGTATGGCCTGGGAATTATTGAACTATTGAGTTTAGTTCTTCTGCATGTACATTATCTCCAGCTGCTTAAGAAGTTTTGACTGTCAGAATCAATGCTTTAGTCTTTCACCTTGGAGTTTTAAGGGCTATAAAGTAGATCTTCTTTTGAAAAATAAATAAAAGTAACAAATTGTAGCTTAACTGCTTTTGTAGAACTGTGGTTACATTCAAGCCGCTGGCCCTTGTAATGATCCCAGGATCAGTAAAAGTGGGAAAGTTCACATCTTCTGTTGGCCTGATTCAATTTTCACAAACTCCTGTTTTCCATTATAGTTTCAGCTCCACACTACTGTGCATGGAAAGTTTTTTGTTTTAATGGACTTCCTGATAGTTTAAAATTTGGCCTACTAAAAAAAGGTAATGGCGTTAGTTACTTTC